CCAGAAATTAAAAAAAATTATGATATACATGTATATAAATGGGCTTTTATGGGTAATTAATATTTTATTTACTTGATTGAATTTTTGAGTCAATTAAATTTACCATTACAAAACATAGGAAATGGACAAAATAATTTAGTTGTATCTATACTTAATGGGAACTGGAGGTCAAAGATGTGATTTTAGAACATAACTCTCATTGACTTATTGATAGGTCATAGAGTGGACCACAACATGACCACATAGATTTCCCCAACAATACCTTGGTATTCACGCGCTAATCATTCAAAGTTTGTGCAATTACTTTCCGGACAAGCTTTAGTATACCACCAGATTTTGACATTATCTAGCTACAATATGGTGAAAACGGATTAAAGATTGGATAATCCAATCAAAAGCTATTCAACTTTTCCCGACCCGGGATAGAAGTGACCGTATCTGTATATTGTATATTGTACTAAACATTTTACATGCATGTCTATATTTTGATACTTTCAAACTTTACATAAAAGCAATATTGAAAACTTATGATTAAAGCATTTTTTCTGATACACTAATGGGAATATCTGCTCAGATATGTCAACATTAATAAAAATAAAAGCATTTACTATATATAAAACTTTTATTATTAGTAAAAATGTTCTTATTCATTATAAAAGTTATTAAAATCAGGTCGTTGGTGCTCATACCCACCTGTGTATTATTTATGGGCAAGATGTCCCCCAAATAATGGCTTACAGTATATGTGAGTGGGCCACACAAAAAGCATGTGGCAAATTCTCGTATCATACCTGACAACTATGTCTTAATACTAGGGCGGGCGAGAGAGAGAGAGAGAGAGAGAGAGAGAGAGAGAGAGAGAGATTATAACTAATATTTATAATATAATACTAATATTAAAATACGGTATTTTGTTTTTTGACTATTATACGTGTAAAATACGGTATACATTAAATAAACATGACATTAACATAGCATTAATAATATTAAACTTAAATTAATTTATTTTAATATTAAATAAGAAGACTGTCAGGATCTGGCTAAGCTGGCAATCGGGATTTTTTGGTTGGATATGAAAGTTCATTTAATGCTGAGTCCGATTATGTAATTTATATTGTCCTATGACCTCTGGTTCGACCGCAGTGACCACTTTAATCGGGAAAATTTTTATATAAAATGTCAACATGTGATATATCAATTATATAGAGAATTTTACGTAGAATTCGATGATATTAATTAAATTAATGAATAACGTCATTTTCACCCGAAAATTGTTAGGTAATCGCTTAAAAATCTTTAAAATTGCGTTACATTTGTTAAATATTAATGTTTGCCAATTGTTACTTAAATAAACAAGCTCCTTATAAAATTCTCCACAAAATTGATATATCACATGTTTATATTTATTATTATAAAATAAACTGATAAAAGTGGTCATTGAGGGTCAAATAAGGTAATATTTGCTAAGCTGGCAATTTGGGTTGTACAATTTAATATAAAAGTACTTCTTATAAGAAGTCATAAAATATCATTTAGTTTGTTCTGGGACTTCCGGTTCGGCCGGAGTGACCACTTTTATCGGTTTATTTTATCATAATAAATATAAAGATGTGATATGTCAATTTTGTGAAGAATTTTACAAGGAACTCGAATATATAAGTAACAATTATTAAACATTAAAATTTAACAAATATTAGGGTTATGCAAAAGTTTTGATAGGTAAAATATAGTCAGTAAAAGTTCATTTATTTTTGAACCAGATAATTTAAATAAAAAATTTTAATATTGTTTAAAAATCAATATTTTATAACTACCAGCTCTCCCTGTCCTGTTGGTATTGATATATGGATAAAATAATTTTTGATGTATTTCCTAATTTTTAATTCTCTTTCGAATGGTGTATCGTTTGCAGAGATGAACTTGATAGTTTTTGAGTTATAGCACATTTTACAAAAACTACCTGGGCTGAGATACCGGTGCTCGCATAAAATAATCAACTAGGCAGCTTATTCAGGCTTTAAAACCATGTTTCTCATATTAAAATTTTTTATTTAAATTACCTGGTTCACAAATAAATAAACGTTTACTGACTATATTTCACCTATCAAAACTTTTGCATACCCCTGATATAACGTTATTATAAAGATTTTAAAGCGATTTTTAAACAATTGTTGGGTTAAAATGACGTTATTTATTAATTTAATTAATATCATCGTATTCTACGTAAAATTCTCTATAAAATTGATATCACATGTTGACATTTTATATAAAATATTTCCAGATAAATGTGGTCACTGCGGCCGAACCAGAGGTCACAGGACAATATAAATTACATATTCTGACTCAACATTGAATGGACGTTCACATACAATCAAAAAATCCCGATTGCCAGTTAGCCAATTCTGTATTGTATTATGACAGTGTTCTTTATGATTTTACGCTTATTTTACCACATTTTCTAAATTAACGAGCTCCTTATTTTAATCAATAAAATATTCAAATATTTGAAATGATTTTTTAAAGAATGAATTCTCGAATTGATGTGAAATTCACTTTTTTCCCTTCCCTCCTATTCCTCCCTTCCCTCCCTACTTTCCATCATTTCCCTCCCTTCCATCCCTTCCCTCTTTTCCCTCCCCTCCCTTCCCTTCCTTTTATCCCCCGATCACTTCCTTCTCACTAATTTTAGTTTATAAACTAATTCAAAACACAATTTTTATTGTTATAGTACATAATTTGTATGCTTATTGATTACCGGTAAATATCTATAATTTATTACATTATAATCGATTCTATATTAACTTAACTATAAATATGGGTTTCTGTAACATTGCTTGCAACCTTGTTACTTAATATATACTGTATACTGATTTTATTACACTTTAACTACATATATTGGGATAATTTTGGACATATTGGACATATTGGACTGTAACTCATTGATCAATTTACCAGGGAAATCCCGATAGACGGGTTCGATCATTTTTTATGCTCTTTCCAACGATATGTCGCTTGTCTTTCTAGGACTTATAGTTTTTGCTGTACATTAACGCTACCTGTGCAAAGCTACCGGTGCTCCAATCCAGTAGTCTCTTCGGGAGAATTCATATGAGTAAAAACCATAGTTGAAGTTTAAAAATATATTCAATATCTCTATCCATTGTTGAATAAATCGTACCTTGCAAAACTTTGTCCGAAACCTAATATTTGTTACATTATTGGCAACTTTCCCATATAATTAACATGTAAAAATTAGTTAACTCAATGTCAGTTAAGTGTACAATATGTATATATTAATAATATTGCTTATTCTTACTTAATATATACTGTATACTGATTTTATTACACTTTAATTACATATATTGGGATAATTTTGTACATATTGGACATATTGGACTGTAACTCATATTTATTTTGTCATTTGCCCAACCAATACACCATAACCTCAGTACTAATACAATAAATACAGTTGTACCACGTTACAATTACATTATACGCCCATTTTGACCATATGTCTCATTGGTTCTTCCCACCACGTGGTATCTGACGCTATACTCTGATTAAAATAACAGTTTTATTTACATTAAATGCTAGTTAGCAAACAAAAACTTAGCTTTGATTTAATAGCTTTGAAATGCTATCAATATCTCAATGCCGATAGCAATAGCGTGAATATAATATCAATGGCATATACATATGCTAGTTTATATATAATGATTCATTATTAATGAATGAATGTAAGTCACCCAGGCTTTCACTTACTTGTAAGTGTAACTAATTAGTCTTCATCCATAAAGTACGTACGCAGAAATTTGGTCAGAAATTGACCCCCATCATACATAGGAATTTAACATGGGGACATACGCTTTGGCATGACCCCCTTCCCCCTAGGCTTGCGTATGTACTTTGTGGATCACGCCTTATGCTTTTCTCATGATCGCAACCAATAGGCAAATGGGGGTTAGGATTCGCGCGACGAGAATACACGCCCACATACCGGGGCTACCCCTTCCCCCTAGGCTTGCGTATGTACTTTGTGGATCACGCCTTATGCTTTTCTCATGATCGCAACCAATAGGCAAATGGGGGTTAGGATTCGCGCGACGAGAATACACGCCCACATACCGGGGCTTCGACTCATTCGTGGGCTTCTGGACGCACACGAAATACAACTACAATCACACGAGTTGTGAGTTTTATCGCCACTTTATATGCGGCGACGACTCGCGACACAACACAGACTTCACCGCAAACGGAACCGGCGTCTACTCGACACACCATTTCACCGACCGGTCCCTTCATCTTATCGGTAGTTCACACGTACAGCGAAACACACACTTTCATTGCGCCCAAATTGAGCGCACCATGATGCTTTCCATTTCTAACGATTATTATTTATTAGACACCCACAGCACTCTGCAACCACTGTTCCTATACGTGTCCTATCAAGTGATACATCACTCGCTCCTGTATCTAATGGAGGCGCCGCCACCGCACGAGTTCCCGGATATGTTCGGCCACATCGAGTCAGACCAACGGAAAACAGTCGCGCGAATGATATACTCTATCGACCAGTCGATCGGCGCGGTTTCGAGCGGTTACACTATCGCCAAATGCTTGATAATAGTATCCTGGTGTTCGTCAGCGATAATAGTGGCCGTAGCACTGGTACGCATACAGTATACGCCCACCAATACCACTACTGGGAAACACTTCAGTATATCACTAAGGGCTATTCATATATAATTTATATATATATATATAGTATTTCTAAATGATCAAGATGACAAATTTCGTGACAATAATTACATAATATGCGATGTTGATAGTTTTGTAAGGGGGAGAGAGAGGGTGCAGGATTATATGTCTGAAAGTACTAAGCTTATAAAATTTTTAATATTTAATACAATTAGGTGACCTTGACAGGTAGGGTTAAGCTTAAGTAATACCTTCCAAATGAGCATTGTGGCCTTAAATAAACAAATGTTACGTAAATGTGTAAACATTTAAATATATATTTTTAAACTTTTATAAAGTAAATCCCGGAACCAATTGGCCGTTCAAAAACACACCCGGAATATTTCATGGCTTACACGAAGGAAGTATAGATATTACTGTCGCCGATATTAGTAATGAGTACTCAATATAATTGATAGTTTAGTTTTAATGAGACAAACATTTATATTTGTGTCAGACATCAGAACACCGGCACTCATATGGAGTCCATTGCTAACCAAAAGTGGTTACGTCTCGGACGCCATCGTCGACGTCACGGATCTGTTTCCAACAGTTTTGGAGGCCATCGACGGCACCGACAGTTTTGCCGACGAGCGCGACATTTATGGTACGAACCGTACGCTAAGATATCAATAAGTGAACGCAACGTCTGTATTATAGGTCGGTCTCAATGGGGCGCACTGTCCAACAACGACCGCCCGATGCGATGGGAACTCATCTATAACGTCGACCCGGTGTACAACGTGTCGGCCATTCGTTGGCACGACTGGAAACTCATGCAAAACTCGCCGTTCGCTCTGACCGCCTACCGGTCGGCGCCGGTGGCCTATTCAGCTAACGCCTCAACTAAGGGCCAGTGGTTCAAAACGCGGCAGACTATGGATCGCGTGTCGTGTAAGTCATACGACGTGTTGTCTCGAATGAATAGAGCGCCCGATTATGAGGCGCTCAGCGATGTGGTGGTGGAGTGCGGGCGGCCGACGCCCGTCGCTACAGACGACGCGAATGACTGTCCAATAGGACAGTTGTGTTTGTATAACCTTCGGTACGATCCGTGCAAACACCATAACCTTATCAACGAAACGGACCCCGAATTCGTGCAATTCTTGTGGAATAAATTGGTCACATTTAACGGGACATCAGTGCCGCCCCTGTCGCTCGAGCAACTCGATCCTAGAGCCGACCCGAGCCTTCATAATAACCGGTGGATTAATTGGTTGGACACCGGGGAACAGGCAGATCAGGTGGACGGGAGTGTTGCCAACAAAGTGGAACTATGATACTCATTTGTAGCTACAGAGTATAAACATTGTCAATATAAATGTCGGGCTCGCCCAAAACGCCTACGGCCTAAAAGGCCTACTTTTACAAAAATCGAATTTATTTGTTAATTAAAAGTGATAAATAGGCCACATAAGTTTAATTATGTTTGGCGCTCATTAATTTAGTCAGCAATTACGTTAAACTAATCTTGCGTAATTTATTTACTTACAAAACTATGGTTATTTACATTTTTCAAAATTTCACAAATAATTATGTATTAAATGCTATTATATAAATTACGTCAAATATATTAGCGTCATTTATTTAATACTATTGTGCAAGTGTAAATCTTAACTTTGGTCCACATTAATAGTGAAATAAAAAATATACCCCTTAAAATGTATTAACTGAATATAAAATATAAGCCAAATCTATGCTTGGCAACACCCCTTAGTGACACTTTTTGTCGACATCCACCAAAATCCTTTCGTATACAATAACCTCTTAAAATGTATTAACTGAATATAAAATATAAGCCAAATCTATACTTGGCGACACACCTTTATGACACTTTTTGTCGACATCCACCAAAATCCTTTCGTATACAATAACCCCTTAAAATGTATTAACTGAATATAAAATATAACCAAATCTATACTTGGCAACACCCCTTAGTGACACTTTTTGTCGACATCCACCAAAACCCTTTCGTATACAATAACCCCTTAACATGTAATAACTGAATATAAAATATAAGCCAAATCTATACTTGGCATCATCCATAAAGTTTGTCTCATGTGACTCCTAAAGGGCAGTCCACATAAAACTTACAAAACCCGCTCCCGCGCCGTCCCGCACAAATCACATTCCCGAGCGGGAATAATCTAAGGAGTGGGGAGTTGTAATTCCCGAAAGGAACACACATTATTGGCTATCCTGGGAGTCAATCCCAGACCTAACTTTATGTAACACTATTATATAATAATGTACTTGACTAAAAAAGGGACAGAATATACCTACGCTGAGCTTCAGGTGCGCTCAGTTATGAATTGTATTGTATTTATATTTGAATAAAAACTATTTAGTGATTCATATTATAGTGTTTTATTGGAAGTATAATTATTGTAATTGTAGAGTTGAGGTAAGTTCACAGAATATTTTGTAAGAAATATTCGGGTGACTCTTACAATACAATGATTAAATCTTTATAGTATTTTTTTAAATAATTACTTTTGAACCGCCATTCCTGTTGGACAGTAAGGTTGTCGTCCAATAAATCATTGATTACTTGCCGACACTCGACACTAATATCCGTTTCATTTCATTCACCTATCCTTACAATGGTCAAAAGTCTATTGGTCATTAAGTTATTTAAGTTTAGGTCAATTGGTTTTTAGGTCAATAGACCCGCACCCGTGGTGTTTATGCAAAAGTCATGTGATTTTTATCGATTTTCGTAGAGATATAGCGTTTAGGACTTAAATGTGTGCAAATATATCACAATTAGGTTTATTTCATACAAACATCGCTTAATAGTGTTTAGCATTATCTCAAACTTAGATTTGATTGCAATTTATGTCTCATTCAACACTGCATTCACTGCAAAATGAAAAGTTTTAAAACCAAACCTTTTGTTGCGGTTCTGACCAAAGTATTGCCAATATATATATAAACGAGTCTTATATGCAATCTCTGCGTCCAATAAAATCCTTGACAATTAACTAAACATTTGTGACAATAGATTAGACACACATTCAACACATAAACCAAATCAACGTCCAAACGGATTGAATCAATAAATTGCAAACTATTAATGAATGTTTTGAGCGACAAATACCTGAATAGTGTGCAAACAATGTCAACGGTTGGACTCAAACCTCGACTCTCGTATGGAGTGGTTGAACACAACGTGTGAATCAAAGTGTGTTTAATTTAAATGAAATGATGTATTGATTGGTGTATTGAGTAATTTATAATTGAATATAATTCAGTTATGATTGAAATGTTTAGTAACACACGTTTAGTACTGAACACGTTTACAATAACTCATTAATAGTCCGGTTTTGTAAACTATTTTGTTTAAAGCTTATCTTAATCCCTAAAGTAAACTAGAGCATTGAGATAAGTAGTGGCTAGTTTGATTGAATTTTATTTAAAAATAATTTTCTTATTTCTCTCAAATTTTATTTTTAACATAATTAAATTAAAAAAATTAAAAATTTTAATTATATAATGTTAATCCTATATAATCCTATGGGATTAAAAAGTAGTACCGGGTCGGTACATTCAAAAACTTAAAAAATTCATAATTAAAAAACCGGTGGTCAAAATGGGGTCTAGGTGGTATGGGAGATGTCAGGGGTGTGTAGGGTATCCAAAAAGTACGTCCACTCAAATGCGGTATAAGTGATACTTGATCCGACGTCATGTTAGGAAATACTGGACTCAAGATCGAGAAGGGAGTGATCGTTGAGATCCCTATCTATGCCATACATCACGACCCCGACCACTATCCGGATCCATTTACCTTCAGCCCGGATAGGTTTATGCCCGAAAACAGGGGTCATATGAAAGCCTACACTTACCTGCCTTTGGGATCGGGTCGACTGCATTGCATTGGAATGCGATTCGCGTTATTGGAGTCAAAGCTCGCGTTAGCTGTGATCTCACATTCGTTCCGCTTCTCCAGAGTCACCGACACTGACGTTCCGATTGTCTTGAAAAAGGGTCGTTCCCTATTATTACAGGCAAAACGGCTTGTGGTCGGCCTTCAGAAACGATAAAATATTTAATGAATTTAATACCCAAGGTACTTAATTATGTCGTGTTTAACCATTTAAAATGTTTTCAACTCTATGATTAAAAATTAAATTATAATTTAATATGTATCATGGAAAGTTGAAGTGAGCTCTGTACTTTTAATGAGTAATAAACTGTGTACAACTTAGTAACCGGACGTTATATAAATGTATATAAAATAAAAACTATTTATTGAAATCAAATTATATTTTAAACATAAAGTAAGTAGTATTCAACTAATAATTTATATTATTCAAATGGAGTCAAAACACNAGTAGTATTCAACTAATAATTTATATTATTCAAATGGAGTCAAAACACCTTTCCTCCCGATCTACCGGAGCCTCTTTAACATGCATCTCATAAGAGCCTTTCCATGCTTTTTAACGATTGTTTTTAAGATATTATTCCAAAAAATTTAAATTCAGTGACATATCTAGGTGGTTCTGATCTCATAGACAGTCTAACTTAATATTATGTCCAGTACTTTTCACTGGGACGGGCCTGTCGTAGGTTTGGGGCATTCAGTTTTTTGGACACATTGGGAATTTCAATAGAATTACATTAGTTAAGTACATTTGGTTTACTAACCTTGTAAATTTTTAAAATATCATTTTTAAAGTTAAATTTATGAATATTTTTTGAATGTCTACATTATGATTAACAATCCTAATTAGTGACTATCCCTAACAATGCTCTTGTTTTCATGCACTAAACAGCCTAAATTATTTATGATCAAAAAAATTATCAATTTTGGACAACAGTTTTTATGAATTATAAAGTTTGATTGCTTATCATCCCTTTCCCTTATAATTGCAAACAATGTTATGGTATATCATTGATCTATTATATGATGGACTATAACTTAAACATTTGTTCAGAAACGACAATCATATACAGCGCGCGCGACATAACAATTAAATTCGTCCGGTTACTAAGTGGTACACAGTTTATTAGTAATAATATAGTTATAATAAATATACAAACATAATAATAAAATTTCACGACAAATTTTAATTAAAGATCATTTCAAATTGTAATTATTATTTTTCATATAAATTATAATATTTATGTCCAAACTTGAAATAATTAAATAAAATATTCCTTTTATTTAAATCAATAAAGTGTACTAAACTAACAATGTCCTCAATATTAATATTACTCATTAAAGGTACAGAGCTCACTTCAACTTTCCATGATACATATTATTTAACCATGCAAAATTACGCGTAATTATTTTTGGCGTAATATGAATTAATTTGACATTGTAGCGTAATTAACCGAAAATAAGCAAAAATAAGGAGTGTTTAGTAAAATGACAAATCAATGCAATTGACACCAGGATCTGAGTTATAATTAGTTAAGATTTCAATGTTACTATGATTTCACTGATCAGAATCACACGAATCTGAATAGATATACAAATTTTAACCTTTCAAATTTAATTTTAAACTATCACATACAGATCGTATGGCAACTAATTTTTCTATACGTTTATTATGCATTTAATTCCGGCTTTTTGTAGCAATTCTTAAATGCCTTGAGAATATTATTTCAACATATATATGCCTTTTATTAACAAAATTATAAAAAATATTATTTATTTGTTCTTGAATTGAATTTTACTGTAATTGAAAGTTACGTAAAATATTGTTGACAGCGTAAAATATGATCTAGATAATTTCAAAAATATTTTTTATAAATAATTTTAATTAAAAAGTAAATAATACTAAAAAATATGAATAAATGAATTAAAACACAAAAAATATATTTGCCCTCACCGGGATTCGATCTTATGACCATAGAGCATGTACTACTTTACAGTTATATACACTAAATTTACCTTGACCATAACTGACCACAACTTTAACTCCAGCATTGGTGACTATTCATATAATTATATATATAAAATGTGCTTGTGGTAGGCATTCAGAAAAGATAGGAATTCTTGGTGTATATAATTTATGAATTCTTAATAATTATGGGCTTAACTAAGCAATTAATGATAATAAAACGATCCAAGCACAATTAATTTTATTGTGTAAACAAATATAAATATTTTGTTTCACATCTGTACAAATTGAATAAAATTTAAGTTAATAAAATTATTGAGACTAGTATGACATTAAGTGCCAACATGTAATGTTAACATATTAGTATATGTCACTATTTTTGGCTATCATTATATAATTAATGATCACAATTGACTATATAAGGG